GGTTATTCAAGCATAATTTAGCCTGAGTTCTTTTCCCTTTATTTGCCACCTAAAATATTTTTCATTTTGATTTTTAAATTTAAAATTCTAACCATCTTTTCTCTTTCAATTTTAATTCCAAATTTTTCACCGCATTCTTTAATGAAAAGATCTTCTGCCTCTACATTTCCTCTAATGCTGCTATCAAACCCTGAGCTGTGAATTTTTTGTGCCATAAATTCACTGATATAGGGCTTGAACAGCTCGTTGTCTGATTGAGTAAATTCAAGGACACGTAGAAGCTTAGTTACTACATAACCTTCCTCAAGTGCTGCATTAAGCTCGATTGAAGTACATGTGGAGACCCACCCACGTTGTTGGTCCGTGTGTGAGCAGCTATAAGTCTCCTTCACCCTTCCCTCAGGATATTTTCGCGCGCATTTGGCACATAGTGGAAAAAGAAGTCTCTCATCATTTTCCAGCTTCATTGGAAGGACAGGAACGTCGATATGTCTCGGAGGGACCACAAACACCTTAATTACCATAAACTATGAAAACAAAAAATAATAAAAACCTTAAGAATAGACAAAGGATAGATATTGTCAGCCGTACAAGTCCAATTCACGTCTTGATTCAATCGATGAACAATAGGATGGCCAATAGGGTAGTTTGTAGAAACATTGATGAACGGGTATAACGAAGTTACGTCGTAATATGATATTTGAAACCCTGGTTCTGGCTTATAAAATAATTTTGTTGGCCCGGTTCTCCCTCCAAAAAAACAGCTTCTAATGTCTAATGGGCCATCGTCGATATACGAATTGAACTTTTCCCTCATTCTTCTATCTCTTTTTAACAATTCTCTAATCTCACATTCCCAGAATATTTTAACTTCAATTCCTTTACTTTCAATTTTTTCAATTCTTCTTTCATCTTGCTCCCTAACTTTTCCTGCTGTCTTTCCATTCGGTAAGAGAATACTGTCCTCGGGATAACAATCCTTACATCCGTGCCACACACACCCGTTAACTTCAAGTCCTAGCTTTTTATCCTCTACCCAACCATCCAGGTGATATCCTGCTACTTCTTTCTCTCCTTCTGCAGATAAGGCTGTTCTTATATCTATTTTTTCTACTTCCGCATACCATTGAAGAAATCTCAAAGCAATTCGGCTTTGATTGGTAGCGTTGTCATAGCCTCTTTCTGGGACAATTCCGAGTTGATGTTGTTTTAGGTGATTTGTTCGGAAATAATTCATACAAGCACTAGCGATCGTCATAGACGATCGGAGGACATCCATACCATTCGAAATTTCCATAAATTCTTTTCTAAAGGAGACTAGTGCTGCCATTAGAATTTCAACGTCATTAATACAATAAGAGCCTAAGGCCTCGTCAAGAATAAATGGTTTATTTTTATTTTCTTCAAACCAGATATCGAAAAGTCTTCTTTTCTCAGGCATCATGCCGTCGGCTAAATAATCCGCCTTTGTCGGAAATATCTCTTTTTCGTAGTTTGATGGTTTGTTAGCTAGATGAGGGAAGTAGGGCTTATCTTCTACTTCAAGCCCGAATGATGGTACCAATGCTGCCAACGACATAGGCATTAAATTAAACGAATCTCGGAAAATAATGGTGTTTTTCTCTACTTTCACCTTCATTTCATACATCTTATTTCCTGATTTAAGCATCTCAGGATTAAATTTATGAAGAAAAATTTCTTTAAAAACTATGATCATATCAAATCTTCCTCCGAAATGCGAAAACGCAAGTGTATCATACTTCTTTGAAAGATCAAATAATAACCATTTTACAAATTTTCTTATTGGTCGAGAACTGATGATCTTTTGATCAGCGTGCGTGTTGTTATAATGTTGGTGTGAGAAGGTAATAGTTCTATTCTCGCCGCAAATACTACAATCAGTGTTGTTATTTTTCCAATTACCGGTAGAGATACAAGCAGGGCACGAGATCTTCACAGCAATAAAATTAGGCTCGTGCATCCACTTATTGTTACCAATTGATTTATTTTGAGTCGTTTCCAGATCAAATGCTATTATTCTGTAGGGCTTGTATTGCCGTGGTTTTAGAGGGCGAATAAAGCATCCCCGTTTCTGGTCGTGGTAGTCGCAGCAAATATTACAAAATGTGTTGGCACAAACGTGAATCCTAGTAGAATTAACAACTCTCCAAATAACTCCACACTTTTCGCATTTTTTTGAACGTTTACAAAACCCTGAGGTGAGATGATGATTGAAACAATCGTTGTTTTTAAATATTTTATTGCACGAGTAGCATTTTTTATTAAAGTTGCTAGTTGAAAAACAAGGAAAACCAGGTCCTGTTCGGGAGCATAATATGCAGCGGGCACGGCAAGAAGAAGCATGATCTCTTGGTCGATAGTAAGGCTTTTCACAAGTAAGACAATAAGGTTTTCCAAAAAGACCACTACTATGTGAAACGCCGTCAAAATGTTTGTTGTTAGTATAATAAAGAATTATCGGGGTGTCGAAGTTTTCAGGACCATATTTGAAGTACGGCATATGATTTCCTACACTTCCAAAAATGAATACTTTGATGCGATATTTTGCTGCATATTCTTCATTCCATTTATCAACAACTTTAGGAACCCACTCCCTGGCATCATAGCCGTTTTGATTTAAAGGAGCACCCACCTTTTCCATTAGATCTCTTGTTTCTTCTTTCAATTTATCTTTCATTGATTTTTTTGAATGTATGTAGTAGTAAAACTTTAATCTCGGCCAAGAACAAATTCCATGAACTAGTGTTGCCATTAAAGCATAGAAAAGACAACATCCATCCTTGTTTTTTATCTGTAGACACAAATATTATTCATAGACAGAGAAAGGTACCTCAATTAAATATCTTTTGGATATTTTGTGACGTTTAAGTGCTGTATCTCTTGGATTACCACCAACCAATTCACGCTGATCGGGAAGAGCTTGTTTGTTGAGTGTTGTTACAATCACCGAAAAAGGCTGCCCCCAGAGGGTAATTTTTTGTTCCCTCTTACTTTGTGCCACCCGCAAAAATAAATTAAGCATAGCCTCAGCAGTGTTGGGATTAATATCTCTAAAAATCTTAATATATTTATATCCCATTTTATATTTCTTTTTTATAAAAAGTTTCTCACAGAAATACTAAAATACATGTAAATAAATATTTAATAATAATAAATTTAGATATTTTAACTCACCTTATTGGAATTCCAATATCCTTTTCAAGAAGTTCACTTTTAACAGTAAATCCAATCTGATCAACACCAATATTTTCTTCTCGAGCATATTCAATGGCCTCATCCATACAATATTGAAAAATGCCTAAATATCGATATTTTAGATTAAATTTTAATTCCAAAAAACAAATTTTATTATACCAGCTAATAATCCTTCTGGATCGAGAGGAATCTCCTTTATTTGAAATGTCGATCGCAATTTTGTTAGCTTGAATTTATTACTACGATCAACATCATGGCTTAATTTTTCCACGTAATCTTCAGGTCTTTCAGATAGACCTTGGCCGAATTGGGTAGAATCATTATTTTGAGATGGTGCTAGAAGATTTTCGACGTTAAAATTTCGAGAATTTCTGGTTGATGTTGGAATAGGATTATTCGAAATTAAGTTCTCTATAGTAAATTGACGAGAACGTTTAGTTGGAGGACCTTGCGAACTCGAAATATTACGAGAACGTTTACGAATATTTTGCATTTTAAAATTAACTTTTACTGAAAAATTTTTTAAAAATAAATATTTATTAAATTTATGATAAACTAAAAATAATTTTTTTCTTAATATATTCGAATAATGGGCGGAGTTTAATAGATTTTCATAAATTTTATCTCGTTACACTTTGAAATTTCGATATCTGTTTAATGGGCGGAGTTTAGTAGATTTTCAAAAATTTTATCTCCTTACATTATTATCAAATTCATTTTAAAAATTTTCATAAATATTTTATAAAATTAATTTTCTTATTAATAAATAATATTTTTAAATTTATTTAATGTCTCTCAATTTTAATATGGAGGAAGAGGAAGCAATAAAGGGACTCTCGGTTGTAGTATAAATAAATAAATTTATTAATTGAGATTTTTAGGGAATGTCTCTCGATAAGGAAAAGGAGGAAGAAGGAGTAATAAAGAGAATCACGGTTATTGTATAAAATAATAAATTTGATTAATTGAGATTTTTAGGGGATATGCTTGTACCAACCGTCTGTTAAATACTCATATATAGAAGCAATAAATAATGCCATCAAGATGAATGAAATTTTGGATAAGGGAGGACTGGCTAGCTTCCTCACACACTACTTTAAAACAAACAGATGGTGCGAGACTTGTTTGAAAATTGTTTTGACCTACAAGTCGTGTGAGTTGATTTTTCCACGCGATGACAACTCATTTGTTTTCGAATTTTATCTGTGTTCGGACTGTGTGAAAATTATACCTCACTACTCCGAATATGTGATTCAGTTTTACTCATTTTAAAGTATAAATTTATCCATTTAATTAATAATTTTATTAAATAATTTTTTTACAAATATATCTGGATAAATAGTTGTGTCTAATAAATTGAGATATTGTTTGAAGGTCATTCCCTTAGAAATAAAATATATAAGACCGATACAATGGTGAGCACACGTGTTTGAGGAAAATGATTGATAGGGGTTTATATTTCTAACAATTTTTGAAAAATTTTTGAGAAAAGGATTAATTATGCATATGCTAGTAGGTAGTGAGAGACTGTCAAAGTATATTACTTCTTTACTTCCTTTCTTGAAAAGAATAACCACCCAATGAGATCCTTCAAAATCATGAGGATCCAAGTTTACTACTAATGCATTATAAATTGTATTTATCGATGTAGGGTTTGGGAGTCGGTCACACGGGAAGCAACCTCGAAATATTTTGTTTGTTTGAGGATTCGACTTTAATATATGGGTAATTTGATGGCTGTTCATTTCTTAATATAAAAATTTAATTGACTTTACTTAAATAAATTACCTTTTTCCTAAATTTTCAAGTTCCACTCTTTCTAATTCACTATCCTTATTTTTAAGTGGAAGCACAAGTTTAAACCAAAAGATTGAACGTAACTGGTAAATTATGAGACTAATTATAAAGAGAATATATAAACATATCATCCCCCAACAAAAAATGTGTCCTAACAAACTATCATCTGCTGGCTTTTCTTTACAAAGTTGTATTTGGGGAAAATAACCAAAAGGGTTCTTATCCATTTCTAAATTCTGAGACAAAAATGGGGCTTGCGCTCCAAGTACAATAGGTTTTAGAGTGGTTTGACTTAATTGTTTTATGTATTCGGAATATTCTGGTAAGTCATGTAAATAATCCGTTGTTTGAACACATGGAGTAAAAATTCTAATTAAAAAAATTATAATAGATATTTTATTCATTTTTTGAAAAAATTTTACAACTGTGAAAATTATGAAAATTAAATTATTTAAATAGTTGTATCACTGGCTATCGTTCGATTTTTGTCTAGCATTATAAGTGAATCTACCTCCCCCATAACCACTAACATTACACCACCATCTGGAACAGCATTACTAAATTTTATATTCACTGCTGTTGTTCCATTTTTTATTAAATCAAATGTCCCTGCATTATCTTCTCCACTATTTGTTAAGTTAAAAACGTAAATACAATGTGTTTTTCCAAATTGATTATAAGTTATCCCATTTCCTTCTGAAGAGTTTGAAAATCCTATAGCATCATTCATATCATTAAAACCTCTTACATATTTTTCTTTACTATAATCAAAATCATAAGGGGCCTGGGGGTAGCTGCGACCGTTAGCTATTATACTGATTTCTCTCACATCAAAGGGTTGAAAATTAAAAGGACTGCGGGTTAACGATCCTACATAATCTGAGTTTGCAACTAGACCAAGAGTAACTCGTCTTGGAATTTGGTCCATAAAAAGATTAGCGTTGAATTCGTAGCGGCCTTGACTGATGAATAAAGGTTTCATCATAGTTTTCCTTATTGAATATCGAGCTGGTTTTAATTCTAGTCTTTTAGCTATATCAAGAGATAAACTATCCATTATATCAACTTTTTTGACATATAACTTGCAACTAATCACTTCAAAATTATATATTTTTTGGGTTTCTTCGTTTGTTGGTGCTACTACAACAAACTTTGTATCATTTGGTAAAATTTCAATATCTATTTCACACTGATTTATAAGGTAAAGCGGTTGATTAAAAATGTCCGCATCTAACTTTGCCATAAACTGAGCTGTCTTACTATAAGAAAATAGGGTTTTCCTGTCATTATGCCCTTTACCTCCCTCTAAATTTGTAGATTGATCATAATAATACCCTGCAGAATTAAGATGAGAAGTCTTAGCATTTTGGGAATATGATAATTCGTGAGAAAAATATGTTTTATATGCGTATAATGAATTTGCATTGAAAACTTCCCTTCCATTAATACTTACACGCATATTATTGATAAATGTTTGTCCTATTAATTGAATAGGAGCTACATTATCCGTTGCTTCCAACTTTTTTAATTTTCCATCTTGGTCCTCTTTTTTTATTCGAAATTCCGTAAAAATATAACATTTGGATAAATCGATATAATTTTGACTAGAATGAATTTTAAAATGGTATGGTGTATCTGTAAGAGGATTACTAGTTAAAATTTCAAAAGTTTTTGAAGAGGAAATGCTCACATTTGTTGGAGGGACTTGGAAAAAATCCAAAGCATTTGTTATTGAATTAATACTATCACTATCTATTTTATGAAATGCCATTTTTTAATATAATCCAAATGCGTCTGAACGTAATCTTTTCTTCAAAGGTTTACCAATAATTGTTTGATAATTGGGTATTTTCTTTTTAATTTTCCTTTTTATACCAGAACCAAATTGTTTAGGAAGACCTCCTCTTTCTAAAATTGTATCAATTCCTTTCTTGCCTTCACTAACAAAAGCTTCTTTTATTGGTTCGCCTTGGCTAACTTTTTCTAATACTCGTTGACCTGTATTTATCGCTTCTTCCTTAACACTGCTTCCAACTTTACGCATTATAGGGAGGAAGAAACGCCACAATCCACGCATAACATCTCCTACACCCGCACCTCTTTGCCCATATCCTCTTTGAAAGGGTGCTGCTCCTTTAAAATATAAATTTTCACTTTCTAGTCCACTACCTTTTTGATCATGACTGACAAAGTCATCGTAGCCTATTGTACTAGTATCAAATATAACATGAACCATTATTTTTTATTAATGAATTTTAAAAATATAATTGAAGATGAAAAATTAAAAATTAATCACTTTCTTAAATATCAAAACGATGAGCACTGTTCCGTAAGAAAAGGGAACAAAGCGCCCATTATCCATCGTTCTTAGCTCAATTTCAATTTCATTAACTTCCCTAGGTAGAACCTTTGCGTAAATCGGTGTGTCATAAATATTCTCATTGTAATCGCCTGGAGTTGCTCCTGCTACCGAAACAACACGTAGTAATGAGCTCAATGTATTTCCTATAATCACATTTTCTGTAAGTCCTTTAGTATAAACCGCAAAACTTGAAAATCCACCCTTCAAGTCACATCCATATTTTGCTATTTCATTGTTATGAACCATAAGAGGATTTTCGAAACCAAGAACATACCCAAGCTGAGGTGAAAATGATATGTATTTAATAGCTGGGTGATTCAAAGTTACTTTAAAACGATCAAAATCATTGAGAAAATTGATTGTAACAGAGTCTATTATTTTTTTCTTCATAGTATCATCTAATTTACCAATTTTTCCATACTGTCTTATAAGAGCCGGCATATTTTCCATATAATTTTCCCTTATAGCTTTTGTTGGCTTTCTCTTTATTATCATAGTTAAAATTCGTTCCATCTCTTCTGTCCACATAGGATCTCTATATTCTCCTTTTAGTGCTTCAGGCTTTGGTAAATCTGGAAGAGGAGAAGTAGGTGGTGGATTAATGGGCGAAGGTGGACGTAGTTCTTTAGGAGGAGGGGAGCTAAGATTTTTCTGTGGCTTAGTAATAGATGAATATTGATTTTCATCAGCTGTGGAAAATTTTCGTGGAGGTGACAAAAGTCGTTCTTGAACCGGAGGAAGTGGTGGAGAAGGTTGTCGAGGTGGAGTAACAGGTTTAATATTTTCTTTAGTCGGAGGAGGCGTAACAGATTGAGATTCCTCAAGAGAAATTTGTGGCAAAATGGGAGATAATGGTTTTTGTTGAACGGAGGGTTTAGTTTGAGGGAGAGATTGAGGCACTGTGTTTTGAGTAGGTAATGGAGGAGCCCAAAATATCTTTTCTTCTTTGTACCTATCAATACCCTCATATTCTAGAGCTATAAATCTGTCTCTTCTATAACCGGCTAATTTAGAGAGATTATCAATTTTCGTTTGCAGTTCCTTTTTCTCTTCATCATTCGAGGAATCATTGTAAGCTGATTTTGTTTCATTGATCTCTTGATATAAATCTAATAAACTGCTAAAATTATTTTGTATTGAGGGCCAATATTCTGCACTGCTCTTATTAAGAAAGAACTCATCAACAAACACTGAATTGTATTCCCTATTCTCATCCAATGATTTTTGCCTCTCTCTCCTTATTACCTCACCTTGGAGTATTCTTAATCTACTTATCATCTTTTCAATCTCAATTTTGCGCTTATGAAATTTTGGATCCGATTCTCCTTTCTTCTCATTTTCAATTATATGACCTATTAACTTGTAATGCTCTTCGGCTAGATTTTCATTGTAATTGTCGGGAAAAGTTTCAAAATACTCATCAATAACATCACCGTAAAAGGGGGTTTTCTCTAGATCTCGTCTCCTTGCTTCAATTGAAAGTTTTTCTATACGAGCTCTTTCCAAATTCTGTTTACTATCTAGATATGCAAGAGTTTTTATGTATTCACTTTTCCTGGATTCATCTGGTTCACGATTAGTTATACCTCTAAATCTGTCTATTTTCTTTTGCTCTTCGTCAAAAGTGACCCTTAGCTCGCGTATTTTTTCCCAATAATCGTCTGGATTATCAATAAATATATCATCTGTTACTGGACGAATTTTTTCTTTGATATTTTTTTCGACATCTATCGATCGTTTCTTTGGTGCTCTTACTGTAGGTCTATCAACTAATTCTTCTGGTCTCTCTAAAGGTGAAGCATCAAATGCGTCTCTTTGTTGAATTAATGTTGATACTAAGAAACTATGAAGCTCTTCAATTGTTTTATGTGAACCAGGTGGAACGGGAATTCTAAGAACTTTGGCATTTCCTTCACTAGCTGTAAAATGTACGTCTATCCATTGATCATCTAATGTTCCTATAGTTGATGGCCACGAGTAAGGATAATTTATACTATGTAATCCGCATACCCAGTTTCCTGAGAAGTATAGTGGTTTAGGTAAGTGGACTCTGAATTTGTTTGGTCGATTATCTGGATAATCTGGGACATTACTAGGAAGAAACACAAAAAATGTATTTGACATTTTTATTTAAAATATTAAATTATTTACAAATGAATATAAATCGATCTTTTATACTAATTGATTTTCTTGTATCCATTCTTTTTCGGGGTATCCAATAAATTTGACCAAGAGTTCATATGTTCCTTCTGGTGTTTTTCTTTTCCTAAAAACTTTTTCAATCCGATATTCTGTGTCAGCATCCTTGCGAACTTTTGAAAGTTCTTCACTATAGAATGAACCTTTAAATTTTTCACCTTTATCATCGCGCAATTTGTATTTTACGGGTCTAGATTCTTCTTTAACTTTATCGACTGTTAATATTTCATCCCCCCAATTTGGTATATATCCTTTTTCAAAGACCCCTTTTCCCACAGCCATACGTACAAAATCTTCTTTTTTCAATTTAGGTTTTTTACTTCCTTTAAGAATTCTTTTCTTTGTTAAAAGTTCATCTTTTCCGTAAATTTTTTCCCAAACCTCCTGCGCGTTTTTAAAATTAACGTCTACAGGTCGCATTCCGTGAACTCTGCTTTTTGATTTATTGATACCTTCGAGAATTTTTTTAATTACATCCACCCAATTTAATGTTTTAAACTGAGAAAAATATCTATAAAGGCGTTGCTTCACATTACGAATTGCCCTTTCAGCTAGTGAAGCCTTGACTATAGAATGCGTAGCTTCAAGTTTTTGAATATCCTCTTTTTCAAAAAATTCCTTCATCTGATTATTTTTAAATTCTGTTCCCTTGTCCGAAAAAATTCTGTGAGGTTTCATAGGCATCTGGCTAATTAGTTCTTTAATACCTTCAATCATTTCATCCATTTTCTTAGATTTTACGGGAATACCAAACACTCTTTTTGAAAGTACATCAATACCAAGTAGTAAATATCTATACCCTTTATTATGTCTTGATAATTGTTGAAAGTCTGCTAGGTCAATCTGAACATCTGTCATAAAACCTGAAGCCACTGTTTTTGATCTTTTAAAATGTATACGTTTGGGACGCATAAGTGTATAAGTTCTATGTCCTTGTAGGTAATCCTCAACTACTTTTTTGGGAATATTTTTCAAAACTTTTTTAGCCTCATACCATAGTCTATCTACTCCTGAAAATGCAGCAGGCGAATCCGGATCATTGTAGAGATTGTGTAGTAATTTTTTAATATCTATCATTTTTACTTCCACACGACTGGTTTAAATCTATTTATAGGTTTTGGTCTTCTAGTTGATGGTTTCCTCTGGGCCCATCGACCTGTAATTAACCTCTTAGGTGTTGAACTTGCTGGTTTTTTAATAGCTTGCTTAGTTTCATCTTTTGGTATTTTGTATTCTTGTGGTAATGACACTGAAGGTTTGACATTTACAGAGGTGGGGGATGAAGGTGTATGAAATGAAGGTGAAGAAAAATCATGGGTCCACATATCATCCTCGTCTGTTATACTTGTAGCAGGGCGAGCTGCAATACCTTTTGAACTAGCAACCATTTCTACTTTTACAGGTCTATTCTGCCTTTCATTTCGCATTTGTAAATACCGTCTTAACTCTTGATTGTATTTAATATTTTTACTAGTTGAATTTTCCTTTGCTTTCTTTGATTTCTCTAAACCTCTTCTAACAAAATCTAAGTTTGGTTCGCCTGTGTCCTGACTAGTAAGACCCCGATAAATTTCCTCTGGAACAAGAATAAATTTGTTCGCCATTAAAAATTCTTTTAATTTGTTCCTTTTATATTTCCAATTGAACGTGCCAGTTCCATAAGAACAGGGGTAATAAGTGCAGCGAAAACACCAATCCCTGTACCTTTTTGCCGCAATATTTGCCTTGCCCCTCTCTCACTTCTTGCACGACTCATTTGGCGAACAAAATTAATGTGGGGCATTAATCTTTTCTTTTGGCGTGCATTTAATTGTAGTCGCGATTTTACCACGTTTAAACAAATTTCTGCTATTGCTAATAATTGATTTGTATTTGATAATTTTATAAGTCTCCTTTTCTTTCTTTCAGACTTTGTTTTTGACAATTCTTTTAGAAAATCAACATTTTCTTGAATAAGTTGGCTGACCATATCTATACACCGTTTTTTGGAATAAAAATATTTTTTTCTTCGTCTTCCTTAAATATATTTGTACGAAGCCTTAACCCCGGATCAGATGAAGCATGCATATCGATTAGTAAATATCCATAAGGAACATTAGTTGCCTGTCTATATGCATCTAAAAAGTAATCCTGTTTCCTAGGAAAAAGCTGTACTCCTATATTTCTAACAGATAAAGCTGAATTGGGGGAGCGCATAATAATTATGTATTGAGCATTCTGTCTCGCCACTTTAATTTTTTTCTCAAATAAATTTTGTGTGACAAAAATAACTGCAAAGTTTTGATGGTGGGATTTTTTCGTAAATAGTTCCGATAGATATTTTTCATCAATCGATAGTAATAAATCATCTAAAATCAATAAAAAAGGTTTTGGAAATTTTTTGAGTACTTCCTCTGTTGGCACTCCTGCTAAGACATGTACACCTGATCGTTGAAGTACTGGGACAATTGAACTCATCTCACCAAAACAATAAACTATACTCTTAGGCTTAGGATCTATTAACTCTTCTGCTTCTGCTATAATTTTTAATAATAAAGTACTCTTTCCACTTGAACTAGGTCCCGAAATAATCATCCCGAAAGGCATTTTAAATTTTAATTCTTTATCTGTAAATGTTAATGATTCCATTTTAATATTTGGTAAATTAGAAAAATTATTTCAATTTATAGTACGAATTATGATTGTGTCATTTTATTATTCACATACAAAGAATTAATTGCTTCCATTTCTTCCTCTTCCATCTTTATTGCCTGAGACCTCAGTTCTTGAACCTTTTGAACATTAGAAGGCAGACCTGTCGTGGCAGCTGCAAGACTTTGATAGAAGTCATTCAACATTTTTGCATTTTCAGCTTCAGCGGTAAGCTGGGGAGGAATAGATGGTTGAGGAGGTGGTAAGGGTGGGATCGGAATTTGTGATATTGTAGGAGGTGATGGAAGTGGTGGTTGAGGTATTGGAGGCGGTGAAGGAAGAGGTATTTGAGAAGCTGGTGGAGCAGGAGTAAGAATGTGCTTCTTTGGTGGTGGGGGTTGTGGTAATTCATGTGTAATTTTTTGTAAGCCGTAAGGAACATTGTAAACCCTTCCCTTGTTCTTGACCTAAATTTTTGGTATATAATTTTGTATTCTAAATTATTAATACCTTAAAGAAACAATGACCAGGAAGATCGTAAACTGTGTCAAACGGGATAAAACGATTACCACCAATCCGTGTGCAATATATTGTGACCCCGTCTTTAGTCACAATAAAGTCTAATTCAACCTCTGTGCTGCGACACTCACGACAACGTCCTCCTTGATCATAGGGGATAAATCTTGGGGAAGAAAGTCGCGAACTTGAAATCGTTACACCATTCCAAGCGAGATTAAATTCTGCTTCTGGGAGTATTTGTGTGGAGAGATACTTTTTATCATTCATGTTTAAAGCCATGTAATTTTTAATTGATTTGTACAAATTTTCTGGCTATATATACCCCTCGGGATTGATTAGCCCCGCCCCTTTTGTTAATATTTAATTAGAAATTTTTAGTTTACTAAACAATCATTCTTTATAAATATTTTCTTCAATTAAAAATTTTTTATTAATTTTTTAGAATTTTTTATTTTATTAAAAATTATCTAATATTTTATTGAGATGGTCCCTCAAGTCCATTTTTCTTTCTCAGAAACACTATCTTTGGCCATTTATAATTTATAATTTTTTTAACAAAATCGTTTATTTAATAATTTATTTTAAAATATTTTATTTAAAACAATTTTTATTAATTTTTAAAACAAGTAGAAAATTTAATTTTTATTTTAATATTTTATTAAGATGGTCCCTCATATCTATTTTTCTCTCTCTCTCTGTTTTTTCCACCATCTTCCACTCTTGAAGCTATTCATTAAAAGCCCATTCATATTCCTATAATAAAATGAAATTAATTAGTCCTCAGAGGGTGTCTCTCTCAATTCCTCTAATTTCTCTGTCATAATGATCTATTACATATATATTTGCACCCCATAAAAAATAAATTTATCTTTAATCAGGGATATATTTAATAAGATTTAAACATAAGATAATTGAAAAAATAGACAATTAAATTAAATAATTAAGTAAAGGGTAACAATCCACTTTAATCCAGCAATTAGTCAATTAATTAGTTAATCCCTTAGAAAACAATCCCTTAGAAAACAATTAGTCAGTGGGAAATGATCCCTTTAATCCTTTGATTTATCCCGAAACCGTCCTAAAGGATGCCATTTGTCGGCATCCTTTAAGGACGGTTTTTATTGGGGAAACTATATAGGGGCACTAACTACTTACGGGATCCAGTAAAATCACGCTCTGGATCTAAACTGAATCGACCTCTATTATTTTTTTAATGTTTTAAAATGGTGACACAACTCGAGCACAGTGATCGGAATTTTGAAAAAAACCGGGTCCGGGAACCGGGTTCGAAAGTTGACCGGGAAAAGGGACCCGAACCGGGAAACGGGTTCGGGTCCCGGACCCGTTCCGATCTCTATCGGGCACAGTGATCCATTTGCACTCACGCGGCGGGACTCAATGATCCCCTACTCAAGTGCCAGTGTAAAACCACTTAGCCGTGATTCGCTTTCCATTTATTTATTCTCTATTTATTCTTAGTCCATATGAGGAAGTAACCGGCTTGAAAACTATCCAACTTGAACATCGATTTTTTCCCATTTGACCATCCTTGGTTCATATGTCCTGTTCAATTCTCTATTATTATTTGTCTTGATACCCAATTTGTTGTTCCTCTTACTCCATATATACAGTAGTCGACAAAAAGATAGGGACAAACGCATGTGAAACGAAAATCGCCTATTATCTCAACTAAAAATCGATTTCAGGAAAAATTTTTTGTTTAATTAAATACTCCATTTAATGCTCTATTTAATGAGTATAAGATCTACCGGATTATTATTTTTTGAAATACTGAAATAATTTAACTAAAAAAGTTATGCAAATTTCAGCCCGACAAAAAGATAGGGACAAGTCTTGTAACTAATTATTCACTCAACCAAAAAATTTATAAAAATTCGTGCGAACATACTGATCGATACTAAGATAAAATAAAAAAGAACTAGGCCCATATCTCGTTTTATGGTCGAGATCTCAATACCCCGAAAATCAACGTAAAACAGGGGTTTTCAACTTCAAAAAATATTTTCGACCCCTTATGGATTTTCTAAAATTTTTATTTTAACCCCATTCGATAGCCCTTGAAATTTGCTATAAACTAGCCAAATTTCATTTTTGAGAAAAAAATATTTCGTTAGCTGTAGAGGCTAACGTCACAAAAAACAGCAAACGCCCCATAAATTGCTTCTTAAACGGCATTTTGGTGAATCGTCGTCCTTTATCTCGGGAGTGAAATTTTTTTGAAGAATGAAATTTGGCTAGTTTATAGCAAATTTCAAGGGCTATCGAATGGGCTCAAAATAAAAATTTTAAAAAATCCATGAGGTCGAAAATATTTTTTAAATAGTCCTACCCGTGTTTTACCCGTGTTTTTAGGGTTCCGAGATCTCGATATTGAAATGAGATATGGACCTAGTTCTTTTTATTTCTTCTTAGTATCGATCAATATGCTTCCACAAATTTTTGTAGATTTTTTGCTTTTATGAAAACTTTGTTACAAGACTTGTCCCTATCTTTTTGTCGCGCTTAAAATAGCATATCTTTTGTTTTTTAATAATGTTTGGATTTTATAAAATTTTAACCAGGCAAATTTTCTACTTATTAAATAGAGAATTAAATGGAGTATTTAATCAAATAAAAAAGTTTTCCTAAAATTGATTTTTAACCGAGAAAATAGGTGATTTCCATTACACTTGTGTTTGTCCCTATCTTTTTGTCGACTACATTTAAAATTTATTTTTCGTTTTATTAGATGAATGATTGTAGCCAACATAATCACCCAGGTCCAGGTGAAGAACAAAAACCATCAAAACAATTGATGGGTGGAGGACTACCACAAGATCCTGAAAAAATAAAATTAATTCAACAGCAACTTGTGCTTATTTTGCATGCTCATAAATGTCAACAAAGACAAAAAGTTTTTTTGGTTTTGATGTTGTTTAACTTTTTAAATTTTTAATAGTTGGAGCCGCAAAATTGTGGTATTTGTTTTCATCCCTATTGTAGTACAATGAAATCTGTTTTGGAACATTTCGTTAAATGTACATCTGGACGTCAATGTCAATTTCCTCATTGTGTTTCTTCACGCCAAATAATTTCTCACTGGACAAATTGTAATTTGGAATACTGCCGTGTTTGTACTCCTGTCAAAAAATATACAACTCAACAAGATGCTGGACAAAACAAAGCTTTAGATACTATGTTAAATAATTTGCATATTTAAAGACGCAAAGTCCTAGCCTTATTTATACCGTGTTCACAATGTAAAATAATCTAAAATACCATTTTTTAAAATTTATTTCCATTTTTTGATGAATTAAAAAAATATTTTAAAAAATTTAATTTTTAAAGTCTATTGATATTTAAAATTAACTAAACAGATTTTAGAAAAATTTTTTTGGATTTATAAAATGACTGATTCAAGCGACGAGAATATGAAACTCTATTAAAATATTTTAATATCTAAATAAATTATAAAATTTTATGAAAAATAATAAAGATTTAGTAATAGGAAATTAATAAAATTTAAAATTAATTTTTATTTTGAATATTAATGAATGAAGATTGAAAAAAAATAATTTATTGAAATGAATGATAATTGGAAAGTTAATTCATTAATTGTTTGTTTTTATTTTTACATTTTTTTTGCTATTAGGTCGGGATAATTAGTGTCGCTTTTTTAATTTTAACTCATAAAGCCTGAATTCTATTTTTGCTGTCTAGCATAGACAACGATCCCATTGACTAGATCATTAAGATTATTTGATTCTTTTGTTGCATTTTTGGTATTTTAAAATTTATGGGAAAATGCTTGTGAATTTCACTACGAGGTAGTGAAGTTCAAAAAATCATAACTTTATGTATATCACCCATATATAGCTAAATGTGGTATTAAAATGAAGAGTAGATTCAGATTTTTATGTTAGTTAAAAAGAAAAAAAATATTTATAAAATAACACCTTTAAAAATTCAACCGAAAAATGCGACACTAATTATGACCCGACCTAATATTTTTTCTTGAATTGCTGAATTGGTACTATTAGTTTGGAATTCGCCCCACCTTTTTTCCCTTCTATTTTTTCCTAGTTTTTTCTCATTTTATGGCAAATTATATATCATTCGAAAGAGCTCTTCGAGCCGAGTCTAATGACATTAATATTAACGAAAAAGGACTTAAGTGAACAAAGTTATGACCGCTTATTTTATCCACATGGATTGTCACAAAAAGTCTTCCCAATAAGGATTTTGCTTCATAATTTTGGGAAGAATTATTAGATCTAGCTAATCATGGTATCATTCGACCAAGCTTGAAAAGCTCTTTTGAATGATATATGATAAATTAAGTATCAAACAAAAAAAAGCTCAAAATGGTCAGGGAAACAGTGAAAAAAGGAGGGCGAATTCCAAACTATTACCGCTGAATTTATCAATTTTTATTTTAATTTTTATTTATTTTTTTTTTTATTCTTTATGTTTTCCATCAAAATCCAAATAAAACTTCAATTATTTTGGATTTTCCATTTTCATTTTTAAAATTTTTTTGAATATTATCTCCCATATAACGAAACCAAATTTGTTCATCTTTATTAAAAACATTCTTTTTCTTTATTTTATCCCCCAATTCCCTTTTATTTAAAAAATCTTTCAAAATATTTTTTGAATTTTTTAACAACATTCTATTCGACAATAAAAAGTCATTAATCTTTCCATTTTTGTCTAAATAAATTTCAAAACTTCCATCATCAAATAAAGGGCCTAAACATAAAAAATTAGTCCCATCGACAATAATGTGTTTAGAATCTGCTATGTCAATAATATCCATTTGTCCGTCTTCAAAGTTTGTCTCATTAGTTTTGACAGCAAAAACATAAATAAATTCTTTTAATTTTTCAAGAAATTTTTTTAAATCTTCCGAAATTATTTTAAATTTCCCAAACAAACATTTTTCTTCCTCTCCATCAAAGTCGACAAAAAATTTTATTGTCTTGAGAGAATATAGTATAAGGTAAATGAAATATTCTCCCTTATTTTTGGATTTAATACAAATATTTATATAACTGTCATAGCCTTCTTCAAAATTCAGATTCCATTCAAATTTAATTAATTGGAACCCTTTGGTTGCTTCCATGACCTCCTCAGGTTCGAAATTAATATTTTTATGAAAGAGAGGCTCTATTTGCATAATATTCTAAAAAATATTAATTTAAAAATATTATTTTTAGTTGGACAATAATTTTTTATTATGTTAGGGTGATTCACCTATAGCAATTAAAACGCTTAGG